CAAAATACTGACGCTGCTCTAGCCCTCCAAGCTTTGAGTCAACATCATTGCTGATCTTTGTATCCTCCATAACAACATTTTTTAGATTACCAACATATTCTTGATGCCGCTTCGGCACTCCATGTTTTGAGACATCAACAACTGTATCTTCCTTTCCATCACTTCCCGTTTCTTCTGGAGCATTTAGTGATATGGGCAGGCTAATTTCCAACTGGAGACTGAATCAACTCACTACTTTTGGTTGACAAGAGAATGATGCGAGACTGAATCATCACTACCCACTCCTCCATTGGCGACCCAACGGCTCGAGGCCGCAACCACGTACGACGGAAGCCAAGGACAGGGCCGGCGGGTCAGCTATGGCAGCTCTTAACGTGCGACGATTGTCGGCGACTTTAAGGCAGACGGAGGTGGGGCGACTTGACGGCAACTGGCTCAAGTCGACGAAGACGGGCGGCTCAAGGTGGAGGAACGACGGCCGGAGGCGGAGGGCAGCGGGGCGGCCGACAACTCTCCCCCGCTATAGTTAAGGCGGGCAACGGAGCTTAAGGCGGCTCGGCAACGGCATCGGAAGGCCGGCTCGACGTAACACGAGGTGGAAGCGGAACCACGTGGCGAGAGCAACTCGAAGAAAGGGCCGCTCGGCCGTCGTTGTTCAACGCGTCCACGGCAGAGGATGACGCGAGTTCAAGCTCGGAACGATGGCTCACTGCTACAACTTGGTCAGAAGAAGGTAACAGAGACCAAAGCGGAGACTGCGTAGGTGGAAGTGAGGTAAAACCGCGGCGGTGGCGGCTCAAAACCAAGGCAAGACAAGGCGGCGCTGGCAAGCCACGGCGACGGGGCGACCCATACAGTCGGCCTGGCGGCAGGGGCGGAGGCGCTCAAGAACGGCAGTTCGGCAGCGGTCCACGAGTTGGACGCGCGAACCGGCGACGCTGGAGCCGCGGTAGGTCAACGAGGCAGATCGCAGGAGGAGTCCGAGCCCGTGGACCATCCGTGTCTAGGTAACAGCCGGCTCCGGGTCGTAGCCCCCTCTTTTTTTTCTTGGTCATCATGTCGGCAATATTTCCACTTTGACCGCGTATACCTGTGAAACCAGGAGTACTAGTCCATGGCCATATGACTTGTTCAACCTCAGAACGTAGCCTTGTTGACTTTTTGACCGGAGGAAAAACGATTTCGATTACATGTAACTTGATAGCCACCTGAGCAACCACCGCAACAAAAATTTCTGCAGATCGGATATACGCGGACGGTCGTGCATCAATTTTGGCTAGACTTTATTGTCAGCTAATCTGCTCTCGCCCGTCAGGACCCGCGACCATTCGAGGTTTAATCACACGCGATCTGACGGCGGCTTGTAAAACAATCGAAGAATAGTCATAGTTGTCGAGGTCGATCGAATTTAATTTGTAAACACTGCGTTTCGTCTCTACGCTGCAACTTCTTTTTCTTGGTCTTGACGGATGAACTTGGAGTTGACATAGATCCTTCTGAGCTGAGTCTTTTTTTCTTCATCCAAAAGTTACGACCTTCTCGAAACCCTGGGAAGATCCCTTCAAAAACTCAACACCACCGTGCGCAAGTCCCACGGTGGGCGCCAACTGTCGTGGAATTATCACGGCAGATGTCCTAATGTGAGGACTTAGTCGTGAGGCCAACGCATCTTTGTAGTAGCTTGAGAGGGGTTGAGTGGAATCGAGAGACGCAACACAAGACAAGGATTTAGACAGCTTCGGGCACTGGGAAACATCGTCCGGTAATAGCCCTACATGCTGTTTGTGGCTAGATCTCATTATGCTCATGAGAGAGTCGCCGCATAAGCCGGCTCCCCCTTTGTGTCTAGCCCTAGAGATTGTTTTCTTCTCCCTCTTGGGGTGCCCTGCCCCTCCTTATATATGTTGAAGGGGCGGGTTACATGACTAATCCTAGTAATATTAGGATTACTCTATTACAAGTGGAGTCCTAGTCTTGCTTCCTTTGTAGGAGAATATTCCTTATGTCTTTCCTCTTAATCCGGCCCACCATAACATGAGCCGGCCTTCTGGGCCTTGGGCCTTGTCATCCATCTGAAACACCCGCCGGGTCACCAATGAGTCTCCAGGCTCGTGAGTCGTCACACCAGTGAACCGCCAGACACGTGAGTCGCCAATCCTCTGGCGGGTTACAAATGAAACGCCAAATTCGGCCGGGTCATATATCCGGTAGAGTCATACCGCGGGGTATATCCCCGACACCGTGCGTGAGTAATTCCATCATAGGCTTGCTGAACGGTTGTAACATCCACGATGCGGCTATATCTCCCACGTGTCGGAGCACGACTTAGAGGCATAACCGCATTGTAGGCATGTCGCAAGAGGGGTAATCTTTACACATCCCATGTACTGAATAAGAAAGAGGTACAGAGTTGGCTTACAATTGCCACTTCACACAATACATGAATATAGCATTACATCATCCAGATACAATTAAGGTCCGACTACGGAACCAAAATAAAAGAAGACCACCCCTAATGCTAGATCCCCGATCGCCCCAACTGGGCTCCACTACTGATCGAAAGGAAACGAAACAACACAACAAACACGATCTTCATCAAGCTCCTCCTTGAGCTCAGTTGCGTCACCTGTACTGGTATCATCGGCACTTGCAACTGGTTTTGGAAGTAATCTGTGAGTCACGGGGACTCAGCAATCTCACACCCTCGCGATCAAGACTATTTAAACTTATGGGTAGGGAAAAGGTAGTGAGGTGGAACTGCAGCAAGCACTAGCATATATGGTGGCTAAATTACGCAAATGAGAGCGGGAGAGAAGGCAAAGCACGGTCGAGAAGCTACAAAGATCAAGAAGTGATCCTGAAAACTACTTACGTTCAAGCATAACACGAGACCGTGTTCACTTCCCGTACTCCGCCGGAAAGAGACCATCACGGCTACACACGCAGTTGATGCATTTTAATTAAGCAAGTGTCAAGTTCTCCACAACCGGACATTAACAAATTCCCATCTTCCCATAACCGCGGGCACGACTTTCGAAAGTTCAAAACCCTGTAGGGGTGCCCCAACTTAGCCCATCACAAGCTCTCACGGTCAACGAAGGATATTCCTTCTCCCAGGAAGACCCGATCAGGCTCAGAATCCCGGTTACAAGACATTTCAACAATGGTAAAACAAGACCAGCAAGACCGCCCGATGCGCCAACATCCTGATAGGAGCTGCACATATCTCGTTCTCAGGGCAACACCGGATGAACACTACGTACATCTAAAACCAGTCCTCAAGTTTCCTCGAGGTGGTGCCGCAAGTGGCTCTGTTTCGGACCAACGCTTAGAGAAGCACTGGCCCGGGGGGTTAAAATAAAGATGACCTTGAATCTGCAGAATCCAAGGGAAAAGAGGCTAGGTGGCAAATGGTAAAACCAAGGTTGGGCCTTGCTGGAGGAGTTTTATTCAAGGCGAACTGTCAAGGGGTTCCCATTATAAGCCAACCGCGTAAGGAACGCAAAATCAAGGAACATACACCGGTATGACGGAAACTATGGCGGCAAGAGTGGAACAAAACACCAGGCATGAGGCCGAGCCTTCCACCCTTTGCCAAGTATATAGATGCATTAAATAATTAAATAAGAAATATGGTGATATCCCAACAAAATATCCATGTTCCAACAAGGAACAAACTCCATCTTCACCTGCAACTAACAACACTATAAGAGGGGCTGAGCAAAGCGGTAACATAGCCAAACAACGGTTTGCTAGGAAAGGTGGGTTAGAGGCTTGACATGGCAATATGGGGGGGCATGATATAGCAAGTGGTAGGTATCGCGGCATAGCAAAAGAGCGAGTAACTAGAAAGCAAAGATAGAAGTGATTTCGAGGGTATGGTCATCTTGCCTGAGATCCCGCAAGGAAGAAGAATGAGTCCATGAAGAAGACAAACTGACGAGGTCGAACGAATCCTCGCAAATGCGACGTTACCGGAACTAATCCGTAGAAGCAACATAGGAAAGAAGCAAACAACATAGTAAACAACCATCACATAAACATGGCATTATGCACAATCAAGTATGATGCATGTCCGGTTTAAAGAAGCATGGCATGGCAAAGTGCACAAACAAAACTACAAGTTAAGTGGAGCCCAATATGCAACGAGTTGCATATTGACGGAACACCACGTAAATTATTTAGTTCTCTCTCGGTTATGTACTCACGAATATTAAATGTTGTTAAGCATGTCAGGAGGTGAAACATAACAAAACTATACCATCTAAACAATTTAAATGGGGCCGAATATAACAAACAACAAACCCGATAAATCCCCATATGCATTAGTAATTTAATGCAAACAACAATTTTAAACATTTTAAATGTTGTTATCATGGTGCGGATGACATTTGCAAGGTTTATGCAAGTTTTATGAAAATGTTAACAAGAGCATATTGTGAAGCATTTGTCATCGTGGCGGAAACGAAAGGGGTGCCACGACAACGAATCCGAAAATGATGCCACGACAACTTTCCGGTTCTGGTAACTCGATTGAGATGCCGGTGCAAAAGAGAGTGTGACGGGAGCATGTCATGCAAGGATGGTGGGGTGATCCCGGTAAACGGGTGTCCCACGAGACAATGGTATGGCAACGGGGAACATGCAAGAAAACATGTCGGGCACAGTGCAAACGCGAGCATTTCATACAACACACATGCGTTCATTCACGGGCGCCGTCTCGATGGTTATACCTTCGAAGCGTGCGTTATCGGAGGGGTTCAAGTTCGATGCGGTGTAGGGGAAGTAGATGTTCTCGGGACGTTCGTAGCGGAAGTAGTGGTACTATCGGTCATCGATGATCAACAGGACGGTAGTGGAAGTAGTCATTCTCGCATGCTCTAGGGTCGACGGAAGAGGTTCTCGCGATCTCGGCGACGGTAGTTGTACATGTAGGCGGTAGACGAACTTGACGGTTCCGTTACTTAGTTCTTTGGAGAAGGAAGTAGTCGTACACGTTTTCATAGAGGTTCGGGGTCAACGACACGGAACTTGACGTCCACGGGGTCTTCGAGGGTCGACGGTAGTGGTTCACGTTTTGTAGCCATTGAGTCATCGGTGGAGGAACTTGTCACATCATCGAGCGTAATCCACCTTGGCGTATCCGTGTGTAGGGGTACTTGACAAGTCCGAGGTCTTCGGCCGTAGTGGTACTTGCTGTTACATGTAGTCGAACTTGAGGGGCAACGACGTCGTGGTACTTGGCATCCTCTCGGCCTTGACAAATATGAAACAGAATGCGGTGGTCGGTACTTGCGTCCATGGGTGCTTGGTTATTTTTGCATGGTGGCCTTCGGTGGATTTGGAGGAAACATGAAGTGTGCAGGAGGCAAACGGCTCAAAAAGTCCATGGCCGAACAAGCTTACACTGAGGAAAAACGAGGGGCCAACAGGCAGCGTGATGGATGGGGCGAGGCGGAGGTCCGGCGGTGCGCCGGCAGCACGAGGCGAAGGTGAAGTGGCCGGCGTCGGCCTTGGCGTGAAGCAAGGAGGCGAAGCTCCTGCTCGAGCAGAGGTCTCGGGGATGGGTCTTGAGGCGCCGGAGACGGGAACGGGGCCCTGCTGGCGGCGTCGGGCATGGCCACGGCGGCGCTTGGCAGCAGCGAACTTGGAGGCGGGGCGGCGATGTGGTCCTGGTGGAGCTCGCAGCAGGAGGCGCTCGGGCGTCGGGTCATGGTGAGGCCGGCAGGAGACCGCGTCGGTGGCCGGCGCGCGAGGAAGGGGCTCTGTGCTCCAGCGGCGGGACTCGCGGAGTCGCGGTAGGAGAGCAGCATGAGACGCCGGACCAGAGGGCAGGCGGCTCTTGGCGGCAGGGTTGGCGCGATCGGAGGCGAGGCTGCTAGCGACAGAGCTCGTTGGTGTTGGGGCGCTCAAGATGAGCGAGAGGCAGCGGGCGTTGGTGCGAGGAAGCACGGGGCGAAGGAGAGGGATCGAGAGGAAGGGAAACGAGGTGGGAGGCGGCGCGGGAGATCGAAGAGAGAGGAGGGGGAATCGAGCACGTCTCCTGGCTTAATGCGTGCATATGGGTGTTGGCGGCGGTGGATGAGGACGAGAGGGAGAGGGTTAGGGTTGCATGGCCTGTGAGGCCTCAGGGAGGTCAGCTGCTAGGCCTTGGGCCACTTTGGCTGCGGGGAAGGAAGGCCGACCTGGTGGTAGGGAGGCCCAGGTGGCTAGAGGCCTGGCTGGGATCTCTCTCTCTCTCTCTCTCTCTCTCTCTTATTTTTCTCTTTTCTATTTATCGCATAAACAGAAATAGAAAGAAAGTACACAGGGTTTGGAATGGATGTGAGGAGAGAGGGACATATTTCTGGAAACCAAGAAATATGCCCGATTTAATAGAAGTGGTTTGGGAATTTTTAAGGATAGAAAAATAATTCAAGTTTTAATTAAAATTCAAACTTGAACCATTTTTAAACCCAACCAAAACAACTTCAAATGATCTGAAATTTGACAGAGAGGGTTTAGGCATTGTGAACTAGCATCAGGAAAAGAAAGAACATTTCTCGAGGAGGGGAAAAGGTCACTTGCCAAAATGAAAGAAAGAAGAAGGAAGGAGGAGGTGATGATGCATGATCATACATGGAGCATGCAACACTGTAACATGCATGAATATGACAATGCACATGATGATTATGATGAAATGCAAAATGGCAAGAGGCACGATGTAATGCAAACAATGATGACATGGCAAGATGCAACATGCAAGCGAATGACATGGCAAAATACGGCGAATAATAGGAAGACATCTGGCGCAACGGTCTCGAGGCGTCACAACGGTGATGGGTTGGATGAGATTTATCATGTAATCGAGTTAGTTTTGTTAGGGTTTGATCCCTAGTATCCACTATGTTCTGAGATTGATGTTGCTATGACTTTGTTATGCTTAATGCTTGTCACTAGGGCCCGAGTGCCATGATTTCAGATATGAACCTATTATGTTTTCATGAATATATGTGAGTTCTTGATCCTATCTTGCAAGTCTATAGTCACCTATTATGTGTTATGATCCGTTAACCCCGAAGTGACAATAATCGGGACCATTACCGGTGATGACCGTAGTTTGAGGAGTTCATGTATTCACTATGTGTTAATGCTTTGGTCCGGTACTCTATTAAAAGGAGGCCTTAATATCCCTTAGTTTCCAATAGGACCCCGCTGCCACGGGAGGGTAGGACAAAAGATGTCATGCAAGTTCTTTTCCATAAGCACATATGACTATATTCGGAATACATGCTTACATTACATTGATGAACTAGAGCTAGTTATGTTTCACCCTATGTTATAACTGTTACATGATCGATCGCATCCAACATAATTCTCCATCACTGATCCAATGCCTACGAGCTTTTCATATATTGTTCTTCGCTTATTTACTTTTCCATTGCTACTGTTACAATCATTATAAAACCAAAAAATTTACTTTTGCTACTGTTACCACTACTATCATATTACTTTGCTACTAAACACTTTGCTGCAGATATTAAGTTTCCAGGTGTGGTTGAATTGACAACTCAGCTGCTAATACTTGAGAATATTCTTTGGCTCCCCTTGTGTTGAATCAATAAATTTGGGTTGAATACTCTACCCTCGAAAACTGTTGTGATCCCCTATACTTGTGGGTTATCAGTGGTGGACTCGGCCATGCGCCCATAGTCGTCGAGTGAATCACCGGGAGCTTCGTATGCAAGCATCCTCATCGTTGTCGTGCACTTCTGGGTTGAGGTGAATCCAAGTTTGCCGGTGCAATCCTTCTTGCACTTGAAGTAGCTGTTGAACTCCCGGATGGAATTCACAATCCTGATGAAAACCTTTCGGCTCATCCGATAACGACGCCAAAATGTTTTGTCTCCGTGGAGTGGAGCGTCGGCGAAGTAGTCGGAGTAGAGCATGCAGTAGCCCTCGAGACGATGTCGGTTCTTTGCTTTCATCCGCCCCGGCACCGAGCCACCTCGCCGCGGCTTTTCATTGCTCGCCAGCAGGTCGGTGAGGGCGGCGAGGACCATGAGATGTTCCTCTTCCTGGACATCGGCCTTGGCTTCCTCCTCCAGCAGCGCGGCGAGCACTTCCTCGTTGTTCGAGTCCATTGCCGAGGCAGGCAAATCACCGAACACCTTGCGGGCGCGGTTGGGTGTCGGTGTCAAAACCATCAGATCTCGAGTAGGGGGCCCCAAACTATGCGTCTAAGGTTGATGGTAACAGGAGACAGGGGACACGATGTTTACCCAGGTTCGGGCCCTCTCTATGGTGGTAATACCCTACTTCCTGCTTGATTGATCTTGATGAATATGAGTGTTACAAGAGTTGATCTACCACGAGATCGTAATAGCTAAACCCTAGAAGTCTAGCCTGTATGACTACGGTATCGAGTATCCCCTATCCGGACTAAGTCCTCCGGTTTATATAGACACCGGGGGGATCTAGGGTTACATAGAGTCGGTTACATAATATGGAATCTTCATAGTTGTTCGCCAAGCTTACCTTCCACGCCAAGGAGAGTCCCATCCGGACACGGGCACCGTCTTCGGTCTTCATATCTTCACAGCCCATCAGTCCGGCCCATAGATAACAGGTCGGACGCCCGAGGACCCCTTAGTCCAGGACCCCCTCAGTAGCCCCTGAACCTGGCTTCAATGACAAGGTATCCAGCGCGTAGTGCTGTCTTCGGCATTGCAAGGCGGGTTCCTTCTTCCGAACTTCAAAAAATAGTCTTCGGATGAAACGAACGTGTCCGGATCTACAACGCACAGCTGCAGAGGGTATAGCACTTTCATGAATCCGATCTGCTGACAACTTTAATAATGTGACGTCATGCCCTCCCGGCCTTTATTTCGAACTGTTTCCTGTCCTATTGTTCCATGTTTTGGTGGCGTGGTTTTTACTGGCATGTCTCGTCGAAGCAGGGATCGTGCCCCCTTATTGTGGGATTTTCATCAATACGGGCGTGGGTAACCCAACCGTCATGTGGGAAAGATTCCTTAGGAATAGGCTGGTTCTTAGGCTTTAGGAGGAGGCGTTCAATACCGGAGGCCTTTATAAAGGAACCAAGGGCCATATTTTTTATGCCAAACTTCTCCTCAGCCTTCCCAACCCCGAGTTCCAACACCCAAGGTTCGACTCCATTGCTTTCAGCCTTCCCAACCCCGAGTTCCAACACCCAAGGTTCGACTCCATTGCTTTCAGCCTTCCCATCATGTTCGGATCCACCTCCCAAGGCCGATGGGTGGCTTCCTCCATTACAGAGGAGGATATTGCAAAGCTTCAAGCAGCCAGATATCTGACTGCAGAGATCCACCACCGGCTTCCTGCTCAAGGACAAGTTATTCCGACCCCCAGATCCGGCGAGAGGGTTGTGTTCATCCTCCACTTCCTTCGGGGGTTAGCACTACAAAAAAATACACTTCCATGATGATACGTGTTTGTCACAATAGGTCGCATTTTCTGTCATGCATGTACATCCATGACGATTTTATGACAGAATCAAGATAGTCATACCTGTGCTGTCGTAGAGGTGTTCCATGACATTACCAAAATTATCATCACGGAAGTGTCCACTTCCATGACGATAAATCCCACGTCATAGAAGTGCTTTCGTCAAGGGTGACCGACACGTGGCATCCACCGTAACGGAACGCCGTTAAGCTATCGGTTTGGGTTTTGGATCCGATAACCCGTTAACAGCCCCGACCAATGGGGTTTTTCCATGTGTAAAATCATCATTGGCTGGAGGAAACACGTGTCGGCTCATCGTTGGGACAGATGTCATCCACTCATTGGACAGAAGGCGCCTATGATACGTCCACACGTGGCACGGCCCAACAGAGGCCCATTCTTGTGAAAAGGCCGGCCCGTTTGACTTGGTCAAAAGGTGGCGGGCCGCCCATGGAAAGCCTGTTAACGGCTTGTTCGCATATAGCACATTTACAGCCCGCTAACCCAAGGCCCGTTACGCCCTATCCGAATTAGGCCTACTAGCGTCATCTGGGCCACCCAATATGATTCCAGCCCGTTTTCACTTCTGGCCCATGTATGGCCCATGACGTCTTTCGGCCCATATGAGGCCCTATTTAACTCTTGGCCTATTAACGGCCCGTGGTGAAACTGGCCCGTAATGAATAGTGTATCACTTTATACCCATTAACGTCCCGTTATTCCGTTGGGTCGTTTCCAACCCATGTTATCTTTCGGCCTTCTCAGAGCCCATTTATTCTTGGGCTCATTTCCAGCATTCGTTTACTTACGGTTCATTACTGTCTTTTTCTGCTTGTGGGCCAAATTCAGCCCGTGGTTACAGTCGGCCCGTTTGTGGTCCGTTAATATGTTGGGCCGTTTTCATAGCGTCATCAAATACGACCTATTAACGATGGCCCGTTATGGTCGGCCCATGAACGGACGATTCCAACTCTAGCCCGTTTACGGCCATAATGCGGCCTGTTTGGCCCATGTTTGGCCAATCGATCATACGGCCCGTATAAGGCCCATTGATGATACGACCTGCAGAAGGCCCATTGTTTCTACGGCCTGTAGAAGGCCCATTGTTTCTACGCCCCATAGAAGGCCCACTGTTTCTACGGCCAGTAGGAGGCCCAGTGTCACTATAGTAAATATTAGCCCATGGTTATTATGGCCTAGTTTTAAAAATAGGTTATTGCAGCCACTAGCTAACCGCGGAAAAAGA